TAGTGCACGAAACTGAATAACTTCAAAAATTTACTGAATTTTTAATATGATATTCTAAAATAATGAAAAAAATTAGATAACATGTTCCCGAAAATAGGCAGCACCTACCAGCGTTTTGTTGAAATTTTATTCAAAATGTACAAAATCCCAATAATCTCTGAGGAGGTGAGTCTACCGAATAAACTTAAAAAATTTTCCCCATGAATCAGATCGGAAAATTGGGTTTTCGAGCTATCGCATTTAGAAATAAATATTTACTGCCATTGACAATTTCCTCGGAATTTCTTTTTAACATAATGATAATCAAATATAAATAGACACTTAATTAAGTAAGTAAGGCCTATGTAACATAAATCATATTTATAATAACCGCTCTTGCTCAAGGAGATAACAAAAGACTACTATTACACGATAATGTCTCTTCAAGTTTGCAGATGTGCTACCACGGGTCCTGCCACCAGAGTTGCATTATCTTACAGTTAGCTATCTATTATTGTAATCTTTATCCTTGTGACTAAATGCTTTGTTAATCTTGAAGATTTGAATAACCTATCGTTGACATTTTTATTAATGTGGATCTTCTCAAATTCTTGGTCGGCGGTTATTAAGGCCTACTAAATTTCATGGTAGGTTTTTTAGTTTTTAGTATACTATATAATACAAAGGTGGTTCAACAGAAAAACAATTTTTAAAAATGTTGACGACGAATGATAGAATTTTTAATATTGAAGAATACAAATGTATACTATAACTAATGTTTTTGGGAAATCAAACAAAATTTATGATTAATTTAAAATTTTATTTTCAAGCAATAACCACTTGTAAGAAACCCACACTTCGTCACAAGAACAATGTAAAATTTTGTGATTATTTTTTTGCAAATACATGATTATTACACACATAACGTTTGTTTAAATTTATGACATTTACCAAATCATTGAATTTGGACATTTGTATTCTTCAATATTAAAAATTCTATCATTCGTCGTCAACATTTTTAAAAATTGTTTTTCTGTTGAACCACCTTTGTATGCGAGTACTATAACTAATGTTTTTGGGAAATCAAACAAAATTTATGATTAATTTAAAATTTTATTTTCAAGCAATAACCACTTGTAAAAAACCCACACCTCGTCACAAGAACAATGTAAAATTTTGTGCTTATTTTTTCAAATATATGATTATTACAACATAACGTTTATTTAAATTTATGACATTTACCAAATCATTGTATTTTGGACATTTGTATTCTTCAATATTAAAAATTCTATCATTCGTCGTCAACATTTTTAAAAATTGTTTTTCTGTCGAACCACCTTTGTATGCGATCACTTCGTCTTTGCACAAATTTCTAATATACCAATTCAATATGGGAATGATGTTCTCTTGTTTGTAGGCACATTTTAATTCTTCGGTCACATCAAAATATGGAATGCCGTGCACGTGTGTTTCACAATAACGAACAGTTTTTTTGTCTTTTGGCGACAAATAATTGAAAGGATAACTTGGCCGAAACAAATAATGATCGATAAACGCATCATTTTTATTAGTTAGTTTTACATCTAGAATAGCCATTTCTCTACATTGAAAATGTTTATGAGGATATATAATGTAAAATCCGTCCATGTCGATGATGTATCTAATATTTTTTAGATTTTGTGTCATTTTGAACCAAAATGTTAAAAGTATTTACACTTGACTAAAAATATGTTTGTTCCAACAAACTTCACATAACAATGCTTCATTACTTCCCATCATCCCATTTCTTCCTTCTGCTCTTGTCTTCCTGTAATTTAAGTAAACAGAATCACATTCACTAATGATCAACTAATGACTGTCATTGTTAAAAAAGTATTTTTTAACTTTTCACTTTCTGCTATTGTGTTTGTATTTATGGCTAGGAAATGTCCGCGGCGCGGCCTCAATGCGTGTTGGCGAACTTCACATGCCTTCGAAATTTTCTCAGACATGCAGGTTTCCTCACGATGTTTTCATTCACCGCCGAGCACGTGGTAAATCAACACTTAAAATTGCAATTAACAATTTAATTGGTGCCGGCGGGGATCGAACCCGGGTCGCGTACTGTGAAATTTACAGCTTGCGCTAACCATCTGAGCTACCACGGCTTAATCATATACACACACACAATATTTAAATATAATTTGTTAACACTAAATCATACACACGTAAGAAAATAACAGAAAGAAAAGTAAGTTTGTCAATAGAATAAACACTTAAAATTGCAATTAACAATTTAATTGGTGTCGGCGGGGATCGAACCCGGGTCGCGTACCGGCTTCGGGCATATCGAAGAAAAATAGGACATCGTTTGAATGCTCGTCTAATGGACCTGAGACTGATGAGATGCCGCGCTTTGTTGAAGCGGTACGCGGGAAAAAAATATCGGGTAATTCTTTTTTCGGATGAAAATTTTTTTACCGTAGAAGAGAGCTACAACAAACCAAATGATAAGGTGTACGCAGACAGTAGTGAAGAATCCTCGCTCATGGTATGGTTGGGAGTTTCTTATTGGGGCTTAACAGAGGTACATTTTTGTGAGAAAGGTGTAAAAACGAATGCAGTTGTGTATCAAAATACAGTCCTGACGAACCTTGTGTAACCTGTTTCTCATACCATGTTCAATAACAGGCACTGGGTATTCCAACAAGATTCGGCGTCAGCTCATAGAGCGAAGAGCACAAGCGCAGTGAAATCGACTTCATCCGCCACAAAGACTGGCCCTCCTCCAGTCCAGATTTGAATCCGTTAGATTACAAGATATGGCAACACTTGGAGGAAAAGGCGTGCTCAAAGCCTCATCCCAATTTGGAGTCACTCAAGACATCCTTGATTAAGGCAGCCGCCGATATTGACATGGACCTCGTTCGTGCTGCGATAGACGACTGGCCGCGCAGATTGAAGGCCTGTATTCAAAATCACGGAGGTCATTTTGAATAAACTATAGTGTCATAAGAATCTATGTTTTGTTAATGATTAAAACTACTTTTATTTTTGCGTTTATTTTTGCTTTTAATTACTTTTACTTTTAATTCCCGACGTTTCGATCCGTAAAAGTAGTTTTAATCATGTGTAGTGTTCGCGTAAATATAAGAAATCATTATATGTTTTGTTAAGTTCATTTTGGTATATAAATGGTTACATAATGAATAAACTTGTTTCAATTATTTTATATTAAACATGTAATAGAATTTATGACCTGACTAGGTAATATGCAATTTGGGTACAGATGATAAACCAGGTTCACATTGGGTAGCTTTATATATCGATACGAATGACGTCGGTCAATATTTTGATTCATACAGACGAGCACCTGTACGATATCATCTAGAGTTTTTGAAAAGAAATTGTAAAAGATGTAATTGGAATGTTGATAGGATTCAGAATGAGTGGACTTCAGTTTGTGGCGAATATTGCTTAATGTATTTGCTATATAAGTTTCAGGGATGTTTAATGCAAGTTTTACGAGTATATTTGCAGGGAACACATCGTACAATGATATTTTAGTGGATGAGATGTTTCGCTCCTATTTTATAGATAATAAGTAATAAGATTTTGTATTTTGTTAATAAAAATTTTAACAAAATTGGGTAATGCGTTTTATTGATGAGTCAGATTAGTGTAGATAGGAACAAAGGAGTATAATACGATATCACCACGCTGAGGAAGAATAGATAATGGCGGTATTGAACGAACAATAGATAAGTAGATAAGAACAATGGAGCGCTAATGACGGTGGAGTCCTTCACCGGATATCAATTAGATAAGAGTTAATTGATCGTGCATCCTACGCAAAAATGGAGATTCGTGATCAGAGCATGCCAAAACCTTTTTTTTATTTTTTTTTTAGGATCGTGAGTCTCGACGAACGTCGTACTTGTACCACTTCTGACTCAGTGCGCCAGAACTGGTACAACGTAACTACTAGTGCGCCAGAACTGGTACAACGTAACTACTAGTGCGCCAGAACTGGTACAACGTAACTACTACCGTAGACCGTAGTATTCGATATTAACTTCAACTTGATACCTTTTTTTATAGGATAGGGTGACAAACGAGCACACAGTCCACCTGATGGTAAGTGGTTGCTGCGGCCCATACACATCTATCCTCGATTACAAATCAAAATGCAGATGCGTTGTCACCCATGAGGACCAAGATGAGATCCTTCGTGTCCAGTTAAAAGGGTCTCCGGTTCTCTACACTCACCATACGAAAACAGCAGCATTAAGCTACTATTTTACGCTGGTATTCTGTGAGAGCGTGATCCTTCTCCGGTCGAGCGTATAAAAAGAATAAGAAAAGATTACTGTGTATATTATATGGATAGAATCCTCTCCTATTCTCCTATAATGCGGCGTTTTAATGTTGAGATTAATACTCATAGGGCGATATTTGCAATAATACTTATTAATCCCAATTAGTAAAAAATTATTCTCCATTTTGAATTTAACTTTCTATTTTTAAAATAAATCATCACACAGAACAACGAAATTTGTGTGCTTCATAAATAGCGGTCCTGGATGTTTGTTAATATGTAGGTACCTAAAATGCGTCCACAAAAAATTAAAAATATACACTTATGTTTAACTTCCACAAATTAGTAATTAAATGACTAATTTGTGACTTAATTATGTTGGGTACTTACTATTAGCAATAAGCGATTAATTATTCCAGGAAACATGGTGAGTGTAGATTTCGAGTAGCTGTGAATTATCTACTTTTTTTTATTAAGAAAAGAATTCGTAACGAGTTATCGTTAAAGATCCTTCTATTTAAGGTCTAATGATCTCACAAAGCGGGGAGGGAGTGATCCCGGTGTGCGTTAATGCGATGATTACGGACAGTCACTCCCTATTCGTCCAGACTGGCGTTGCCAAATTGTTTAAAATTTATTAGAAAAATAGTTCCAGTCTTCAGTGACAGTGTATAAAAACTAAATTTATATAAAATTTTTATGAAGTTGGATCGTTTGAACTATCATGCAGGTAAATATTTCTCACACTTATTCTTTTACTTATATTGTTATTTTGTACATCAATTTTGTCCATTTAAGCTATCGTTTAGGATGCATATCCATAGTGTCGTTAGTTGAAAGTTCTCAGGAACTATCGCTACTTCCCTAATCGACTACAGGTTCATAAATAAAATTTTGTTTTTAAAGAATTTTAATTAAATAAGAGACAAATTATGTCCATTAAATACGTATATAATGCCTAAGTAGCACAATTTTATTTTACTGGTAAGCCAAGCTTTACTAAGGTAAGGTAAGGTAAGGCGCGAGGTAAAAGCATTGGGTGAAGAAATATTGTTTATTGTAATCTATTTTGAATTAAAAAAATATTTTATTTTATTCTATACCACCTGATAGTTAGTGTCGATGTTGCCTTGAAGACGCCCGAAAGCAAACAGCCTACCTGGATAGAAGGATCACGGTGGAGGTTCTCGGAAATGAAAGAATTTATTGGATCCTTTACGATCACGACCTTTTTTGTTGTGTAGTAGTGATAATAATTCTCTATCTTTTTTTTTACAAATAAAGGTGAGAAACAGTGACTTTACAGTCCATGATGATGGTATGTAAAAGCTGTAGTTCATTACAGCTACATCCATCCTTGACTACGAATCAAATCAAAACACAAATGAGTTTTTACCTTGGAGAACTAAGATGAAACACCTCGTTACAAGTGAAAAGGAGCTAACAAAATTGTATTTTTTTTCCAGAGTATGTCAATTTTATGGCTCTTAGTTTTGTGTATATTTACATCGGTCACATATGGAGCTCCGACGATGACAGATGCACAATTGGAGCAAGCTCTATCCGACAAAAATACTATGCAGCGTTATATGAAATGTGCGTTAGGGGAGGGACCATGTGACCCAGTTGGCATAAGGCTTATAAGTAAGTTTATTATTTTTCATCTTAAACTTAGAGGATGTAGGGAAATTTAAAAATGTTTAATACACAAACGTCAAACAAGCCATAACAGTCGTATGCAATTGACTCTGTTTATACAGGATTATTTTTCAAGGAGTAGCCAAATTTTATTAATTTCCCAGTGGGAAGTTATTGTAATAGGTCCGATTTTGCAAATTGGAAATTTTAACATATCTTCACGCTTCAAGGTCGTTAGAGTCGAATAGTATGGTTTATAAGAGCAAGTCCGTGTGTGCATATGGACGTATGTATGTATGTATGTGTATGTTCGGATTCAATTTTCGCCTCGTGTATCTCGAGAACAGAGTGATATTGACATGGGACCAGTTTCATTTAACGCATAATTATGTAACTTAGACCTCATTAAATTTTGAGCAAAATCGGTCAAGTCAAGTCGTTTTTGGTGCTGAATGAAAAATTTTATAAAACATTAAAAAATATGATATTTTTTATTCTTTCCACTGGGAAGTTAGTCGTGTTGACCTCGCGGGTCGCACCTAGACCGCTTTTTTATTTTAAACTTCTGTTCAAATATATAAATAATGATATACCGTTAATGCAGTTTTTTTTGTGTCCGGTTTCTGGCCGTGACGGACGTTTGCCGCTTGCCAGAAATTTGCAAATAATTAAAAAATGCTTCTACTTTTATTTGAAATTATCCTAAATTGAATGTAATTTATGGGAACAACGTTTTTGCCTACCGATCTGGGGGGGAAAAATTCCTTTTTTTTTCTTTCCCTTTTCCTTTTTGCACCACAGAAATCTAAATAATTATTTAGTCTTATTATTTAGATTTCTGTGAGTCAGACGAACTCCAATTTTAATGAATAGAATACTGTTACAAATATTATTTAATGCATTGCCGGCTATATTCATAAAAAGTTACAAAATATAGATTTAAGATACATTATATTTTATTAGTTCCCTAATATTTATTGAAGTCTTGTATTGTAATGATTAATTAAATAGTCAACCATAATTCTATTTGTAAAGTATCTACTCGTAACAATTATCATGAGGACATTGGAATAAATGTAATTTTGAAAGGTGTACGTATGTGGCTGCTTTTTATGAAATTTAAGGCAAATAAAAAACAAATAACAAATAAAAAAAAATCAATAAAACTTCTCTTGGAATACTTTCAACATTTTTATTCAGCGTAATAATGTTAAGGGGTTGGGGAACAAAATGCAGGTAACCTTAAAGTTTTATTTATCGATAACTACTCGTGATGGTTGCTGAAAGTGGTTTCTGGAACCTAATTATAATTTAAAAAGCCTATCTAATGGTACTCACGTTTCTTAGTAATATTTAGTCCATTAAATTTAATATATAAGATGCTCTATAATATCAGCTAATACGAAGGCACGCGCGTCAACTCCAAGGAGTCGAGAAAATCGAATGAGTGTCGTAACTAAAATACGGATTGGCTACGACACCCATAAAAATAGAAAATTAAAAGAAAGTTAAAAACATGCAAAAAAGTAAATAGCAAACCACTCACTACTATAAAAACTGATACACTTTTATTTCAAACTTCTCTATTAATTGACATTGTGTAACAAAAACTTCACCTCAGTTTCAACTAAAGACTAAATGAAGACCATTGGCCCACATTGCTTAACATTGCATATTATTAGTTGCACACGCATGTTGGACGTCTTATGCAGTTTCCACCCCCTTATCATATAATAATATTATATTACGTTAAATTACCTTTTGATACGTGGTAGAGCCACGCTACAGCTATATCATGGTTGTAGCACCACTGGGCTCACACAGAATACTAGCGTAAAATAGCAGCTTAATACTGCTGTGTCTAGTATGGTGAGTGGAGAGATCCGAAGAGCCTTTTTTACTGGAAACGACGCATTCTATCTTAGTCCTCAGGGGTGACAACGTATCTACGTTTTGATTCTTTATCGAGGATAAATGTAGATGCCTATGGGCCACAGCATCCACTTACCATCAGGTGGATTGTGTGCTCGTTTGTCACCCTTATTCTATATAAAAATAGATTTTTTAATTTAATATAGATTATAAATAATACTTATTGAAACTCATCCATAATTTTTTAATTTACCAATAGTTCAGTGTCAGTAAATATCACTGTTCTGGACAGACAATCATGTTCAGTTAGATAAACAGATCATAATATTAGAAATAGCTTGGGAGCGATCACTTCATTCCCCTGGATTATATTCTTCATTTTCCTAATATTATAATACTTAAACCTTTTTATGCAATCTTTGTTTAATAAAGTTTTTGCGGTGGACATATTGTGTACATTTTCCGGGATTTTGTTGTAAAAGCATATCATAACCTTACATTGCCCCAAGAAATACTTTTTTATTACCGAGCTCACGCACACTAAAACAACGTATGTACATAACAAGACAACTACTACGAACAACCTTGGAGTTAGTGTTGCCAGGTCCAGTGGGTCAAATTTCGGGACGGAAGGTAAAAATAATCAGGAATTTGGTTTTCAAATAGGGACGGCTACAATTTGTAGCCATTTTGACCGCCTTTGGTTATACTAAAGTCTTTAATGTGCCTTATACTTATTATTTGGGATTGATCTAATGAACAAACAATTTTTCGTCTGAACATCAGAAAAACTGCAATTCGTCTGTGTTTTTTTTCTTTTACGGCGAATCAGAATCCTTATCGAGGATAAATGTAAATGTCTATGGGCCTCAGCATTCACTTACCATCAGGTGAACTGTGTGCTCGTTTGTCACCCTTATTCTATAAAAAAAAGAGTAGGAACTAAGATATTTGATAGAATCAGGGGTTACTTTGCAGAAATCCATTGTAATAAAGATATTAATAGTTATTTTGCAACCATCCGCTCAATTAAAAGATATGTCTTACCTCCCGCCCTCCCTCAATTGCGTACACTAATCCCGTCACCACTTATCCCAGCACCACTATTCCCAACACCACTGTTGTAGGAAATCGACGCGGTTGATTTAATAGAGCGGATGGTTGCAAAATAACTATTAATATCTTTATTTTTTTAGTAGGAACTAAGATGCCTAAACTGTGTGTAATTCTTGTGACAAACTTCATTTTATTTTTTATTATTTTTCATGGCTTCGCTTTTGAAATAATCAAATGTTATTCAACGCAATTTGCTACGGTTGCGTTAGAAATAGAAAGCGCGCTCTATTAAAACAACATTACAACAAAGATGGTGAGCGTTTGACTGTCACTTATTAAGAATTTTTACTGTTGTAGTTTTATAATTTAAGCGATATTCTAGGTTTTTTTTTTATAGATAAGGGTGACAAACGAGCATACAGTTTAACTCATGGTAAGTGGTTGCTGCGGCACATAGACATCTACACCTATCCTCGATCGCGAATCAAAACACAGATGCTTTGTCACCTGTGAGGACTATGATGGAATGGCAACATGCTCCCTTAATTTAGTATCTGACATATAATATAATAAGGTGAGCTCTGTGCTCATTTTTTACCCTTTTCCGCCTGTGTGTGCATGCTTTTCTATATGTCCTCTTTTCCAGTGAAAAGGATCTCCGGTTCTCTACATTCACCATACGAAACACAGCAGTATTAGACTGCTATTTTACGCTGGTATTCATAAGTATTATATATCTTTTTCTTATTATATATTGTTTTCTACAAACACGATCTACCTATGCTAAGTTTCTATGACACAAATAACCGGCTCATAAACAAATGAAATCAATAGATTTTAGTTAAATATAAATTTATTCTCCTAATACATAAAATTCAAATAAACCAAAGGGTGACGCACCGCCTGAATGTAGATATTTTATATACTGGAACAATTTCGAGCTACTTTCGAACCCCCATTTACTTTATTGTTTTAAGTGATTTTCATAGCCAATAAAGGCCCCTTGAATACCTACACAACCGTGTAGTGGCGTGTAAGAATATATCCACTACCGTATATCATCCCGTGGGTGTCGTAAGAGGCGACAGAGGGAACAGATTGGCAGCAGCGTCTTCCTAATAACGACTTAAAATAAATAACTGCGGTTGGCAACCCGCTTGCCAAGCGTGGCAACACTGGCAATCATGTGAGGCAATCTATGGGTGAGGCATATCAGCAGTGGACTCTAATACGCTGTAACAGTAAATACATAGAATCTTAAGTTAAAAGTTTGGTACAAACTAAGTTCAGTTAAGTAAACTGAACCAGCGAGATATATAGCCGTAGCTTAGTCTTTAGGATTTTAATTTATGTTTTTGATTGGATCTTGTTTACCCGACAAATATGAATTATTATAATTCTGGTAATGCTAGCTGCTATCAAGAATCGTGTTTTAAAATGGCACAAGGATCCTAATAAAGACAAAGGGACGAGATTTAGATGCTTAGTTCAAGCGCTATTTTCTATAAATATACCATTAGGAGCATGCTTAAAATATTTTTAACATTAAAATTCCAAATGATTCTAATTGATGTGTTTTAATTAACTTAAGCCATTTTCAAGCATTAACTAATGACATGTAGATTAATTATTGTAATCAATTTAATAAATAGCAGCTGTAATGTCCTGTTAATGTTATGTTATTTACAGTTTTAGCCCCATTAGTACTTCGTGGCCCCTGCCCCCAGTGTACAGCACAGGAGACGCGACAAATACGACGTATACTAGCATATGTTCAGAGAAACTATCCGCGGGAATGGGCGAGGATAATTCGCCAGCACGGATAATCGCCATCGTCTACACTCACTGCCATATTAAAATACATTCATGTAATATTTATTATTTTTAAAGTGTTCTTGCTTTAAAATAAATTTTCACAAACGGGTTTCACTTTCAATTCATATATTTTTATAAGATGTTTCTTTGTACTTTTTGGATTTTAGTCATTGTAATGGCTTAAGGGGTTGTAAGATAGATATACCTACCTCTTCTGTTAATGGAAATCCCTACTCGCGGTGCAGCTGGCAACCTGATGGCGGTTGGTCCACTCTAAAATGTCGAATTCAGGATAACCAGTACCGGCTTTGCGCCTACTGAAACATCTACCCAGTATTGTAATCGGGGGTCATTCCATGCTAGTCGTTACAGTTGGTAAAGATTTATTACAATATCATACATAGTTAACCCTATATAAAGCGTACGTCGCACCTAGCGGTTTCGGACTCAAAAGAAAAGCCTACTAAGAGGCTTATTAGTGACCAACATGTTTAAAACCAATATTACCACTCTCGGGAAAAGCGCATAATAGCCAGCTTTCTGTGTTTTAAAGGATTTTCTTTCATTTCAGTCATCAAATTTTCGCCGACATACCACGCATTCGAAATTCGAATCAAGCGGTTTACTTCGTCGTACACATTACGAATGCGTACAGCAAAGAAATAGAACAATTTACCAGCATATATCTTTTCATCCGATTACAATATGGGTATCTTCAAGGCAAGAGTGAATAGGCTTTTGCTAAGCTTAAACACTTACACCACTATCAGCTAAAATAGTAGTCACGCAACGGCTTTTATTAGTAAAAGAAAAAAATGTAAAAGCAGATTTGCGTTCACTAATACTTCAGTAAATATATAGAGGGTTATTTTTAAAGAGTAGCTTAATTAAAACTTAAGTTTAAATATATACATAACGATAAACCGTTAATGCAGATTTAGAAAATATGAGTACATATTGCTTCTAATGTTATTTGAAATTATCCCAAATTGAATGTGATTTATGGGCAACAATGTTTTTGTCTACCGATCGGCCCTTACGAATGTGTGCGTGCGCAGTAAAATCAGTTGAAATAATGCGTTACCACGTATTTTGAATTAAAAAGATAAAAAGAACAGAATGTTTTTTAATTATAATAATTAAAAGGAAATAAAAATTGTAAAAAAATTAAGGAATGTGTTTTTTTTTAGTGATTCAGAATAGCGTGGTAATTACGAATAAAAGAAGGATAATACAATAGCTCTGATTAAGCAGTACGACGAGCAATAGATAAGCGCAATGGCGGTGAAAAATAGATAAGAAGAAAGGTTGGAAACAATGGAAACGCTAATGAGGGTGCAGGCTCACCGGATATCAATTAGATATTAGTTAATTGATCTGCACATCTCCGGAACCGCGCGTCATACGCAAAATGACTGCAGATTCATGATCAGAGCGTTCCAAAACCTTTTCTTTTTTAGGATCCGTCGATCCACCGTCAGCCGACGAGGGCTGGTTCTGGTACAAACTAACTAGCTAACTACTAACAAGGCATTCCATCTTAGTCGTAGTAGTAGGGTGGCAACGCATCTGCATTTTGATTCTTAATCGAGGCCACAGTAACCACTTACCATCAAGTGGAGTGTGCGTTTGTCACCCATGTTCAATAAAAAAAAAATCGGCCATAAAAGCAGGTTAAAAATAGTTTTTAAGAAAGTAAAAGCTTAATGAAACCAATTTAATTTATTGATTAAAACTACTTTTACGGATTTTATCGCGTTTTATTTATATTAATTTTAATACCCGACGTTTCGGGTGCTTTCCAGCACCCATGCTCACGGGGGACTGAGGTGACTGACGTCCCGATGTCAAAGTTAACTCGGAGTACCTTCAGCTTTTTAATTATTGTTTTTGGTCCGATCTACGCAGAATGAACTAAAAGTATTTTGAAGTCTTGCAGTGGTATGCTTGGGTTTAGTTTTAATTTTATTAATTATAGGATCCCAAGCAGGTGGTAGTACCCAGCCTCCTTCTCTATTGAAATTAGGATGTTTTTTAATTTCAATAGCCTCACGTATCATTCTTGGTAGGACTCGATGTTCTTTCGCGAGGATTTGTGGTCTATCAAATCTGATGTAATGGTTGAGGCCATCTAGAATATGATCGCAAACTGCAGACTTAAAGTCTGAAACGTCGGGTATTAAAATTAATATAAATAAAACGCGATAAAATCCGTAAAAGTAGTTTTAATCAATGTATAGTGTTCGCGTAAATATAAGAAATCACAATTTAATTTATTTTATACGTTATTCCTTAACGGATTATACAAAGACACTCTCTTATTTCTCTCTTTATTATCATCGTCGGTGAACACAATTAAATCATCCCCGGAAAAATCCAAAGCAGAAGATTGGACTCTTCCGGTTTAGAGGAGATTTTTTTCTTGATCGTCACGCAGGCGGATTGACGATCGCAATACCAGACGTCTCGCACCTTTAAATAAGAGTAAAGTCACAGCCTATTTACGTCCCACTCCTGGGCACAGGCCTTTTTTCTCATATCTGAGAGGATTTTAAAGCAAGAAAATATCCGCCGCGCTGCCCTAATGCATGTTGGCGAATTTCAAATTCGTATTTTTTGTCTTTGTGTGACTTGTGAAATTTACAGCGAGCGCTTAGCCACGGAACTTCCACGGCTCCCTTATATTTTATATGGTAGGTAACCCCCCCCCCCCACCACCACCTTGTGGCATTCATGAGGGAGACCTATGTTGAGCAGTGGACTTTTTAAAGTGATGATGTAGCTTTTGACTTTTAAAAGGCAAATTTAAAAATAAATTTACTTTGAGTGAAGGGTTACAGAAAAACACACGGTCCAACTGATGGAAACTGTATGCATCTAAATCCATCTTGAATTAGGAATGGATATGCACTGAGTCTTAGTAGGTAATCATCACAATCTCTGTTAATAATGCCTCGTTCTTGAGTGATAGATGCGTCGTATTATTGACGTGGTGTTTTCTACTACTCTCCTTTCTCCCCCAGTTGTGGTTGTATTAATGGAGTACTCAGTTGTTCGGAGTGAGGTAGGTAGCTTTCAAATTAAGAAAAAAACTTTAATATAAATGGGGATTCAATCCATTTTGCGTACCTACATCTACGTCATTTGTACACTACAGTTGCGCTGTACATTTTAAATAGATACAATTTGCAATGGGCTGGCCACTTCGAAGAACTGACAACTGATGGCGAAACAAAGTACTAGATTGGCTACTGGGAAAAACCCACTAAATGATGAAAGGCGCAGGGGGACTCGATGGATGCAAGAAGCTCATGTCCGTGCTGTGGGGGAAGGGTGATAAATGTTCAGCAGTGGAACTTGTGAATTATAATGATGATGATATATTATAATACCAATTTGAATATTTTTATAATAATTAAAAAAAACATTAAAAATAAATGATCACGCAGTCGCCTTCTTACAGTGCCAAGAACACAGGCTGTGTTTCCTGGTTCAATGGCTATACTTAACCTTTGGGCGAGAAAAGAACCATCTCCCTTGCGACCACTCAACGCATTATATCAATATTATATTAAATTGATATTTAGTTTTCCTCGATCCACTCGGCATTACGTTTCACGTAACGTCCAAATGACGCGCAGTTACGTCGAACATGGCTACAAGCATTTAAATTATATGCAAGTCGAAATATAGAGAGAGGGAAGTTAAGTAAGAAGTTACCGCACAGCCACTCGCTTAAACATTCGCAAGTTTGTCTGACTATCGCGAACACGGAGTAACATTTAACAAATTATAATAAGGAGATCCGGTTTAGTTATACCTAGTTAAGTTGCGGTTGCAAGTAAAAGTGTCTTGGAGAGAAAATTTAGTAACACATCAGGATGCAGGTTAGCTTGTGCCATTATTATTACTGTATTTACCTTTTATCTAACGTATGCATTAGTACAATTTATTAATTTACCTATAGCATTTATATACAATATTTAAAACAAAGAAAAATAAAATTAATTTATCAATCAGTACACCTATTCCTCGCGGCGAAAACGCTGGCTTCGTTTCCTTGCTATTTTTAGTCTGTATCATTTATTATCAATATAATATATTATTACTATATTTTCTCGTTTATTATTGATGAGGTATGTTACCTAAAAATCGCACTTTAAACTTACACATTATAGGTACTTGGTAGTCTCTTATTATTCATCGGTCTGAAACATCTGTAAATATTATAAACAGCTTATTTTAGTTTAAATTTTTTGTTATGTAATGGAAACTTATGTGTTTTTAGTTTAAAAAATTATACTTATGTACGAAAATGTATTCATAATTTTAGCAAAATAACATTTGCACGAATGTTCAAAAAAGATTTAAGAATTTAATTTTCAATAGCTATTAAAATAAGCAATACATATAACGTCAACGAATGCTTTTAATTAACATGTATGTTTAACATCTGCTAATGCCATGGAACTTTAAAAGAGCACGAAGCCAACTTCTATTGTGGAGTAGTTTTATTATGTTTTGACTTTTAACATAATTAACATACTTGGTGTATTTTATTATACACATATTACAATATATTACTATACTGCTGCATACAAATGTAAACACTAAAATTTATTTTTATAATATGTACACGTTTTTATAGTACTTTTGCTTTGGTTCGCAGTTAATTGCCTGCAATAATAATTCAAGGTTGACCAGACCCTAAAACAAGTTAGCCTTTGTGCTCACTTTTTTATTTTTTAATGCAGCATTATGCTTTTAAAAATGTTCTAAATGGTAATTTAAATAATATAAAGCTATAACATTTATAAACTATTTTAATAACCTTAATATATATAAATTACATGTCACGTTGTTTGTCCGCGATGGACTCCTAAACTACTTAACCGATTTTAATCAAATATGCACACCGTGTGCAGTTTGGTCCAACTTGAGAGAATAGTTTTTTTTTGCTCATGAGCGATATACAATTTTTTTTTTGCGAATTCAAGGATTTTAATAGGAC